AAGTAATTTGAGGAGCAGCCCAGGAACAAGGCGGGAGCGGGGCAGGTGCCTGCAGCGGGGCTGCACCCGGCCTGGTCTCCCCCATCCCCCCACAGGCGCGGGTAAGGTTTCGGTGGTTTGGATTCACATCGCTCCCTCTCGAGGACACGCTGACAGCTGGGAACCTGCTTCTGCGCAAGAGCCTCCCCTCCTGCCGGTGAGCTCGGTATGTCTTCTGCAAAGGAAAGCCAGGAGCGCTCGGATACAGTTACCATCGGTAAATTAAAGAAAAAAACCAAAGGCCAAAAAAAAAAAAAGGCAAGGGACTCCTACTTGCCTTTCCACTTCCCACTGGTAAACAGTAAGCTTTGTGGGTCATGCAGTTCTTGCAGGCTGGATGAAATCCACCGACTACTGAAAAAGCTTGCCTTCCTTCTAAAAATAGATGCTCCAAAATACCTACGAGACTTTCATTGAGACACACGGCCCCCAGGGAAAAAAACAAGCAGCTCTTCAAAGTACCTGTGTTTATTACATCAAAACCCAAAGTTCTAACAGTTCACACATTTTCTTTTCCTTCCAGGCTGTCCCAAATGTGACAACAGGAAGGCAAAAGTGTTTGCATGTATCCAAACAAAACTGTGGAATAAAAGTCCAATAAAGATATGTTTATACAAAACTCATATGATGTCTTTAATTAAATGCAATGTAAGTGGTATACACAGATTGATACGTACAAAAAGACAGATGCATAAAATAAAAGTATGTTACATTTCTTGTGCCTTTTGTTGAAATGTAGAACATTTCTCTTCGCTACCAATACCCATGGAGGGAATAAAACACAGCAGCATTAACTCAGATTTCAGCTCTTATTTACAGAATTTAGATGGTAACATTGTAGAATATTCTTGCTTTCATAAAAAATATCTTACAAAAGCTAGCTGTTATCTACCATTATTGGAGAGCTCTGCTGATGTCAGTGAGTATCACTATTCACAGCTTGATTAACCGGTTATTGTTGTACACTTCAGGCTACGCCTGCAATGATTATTTCAGTCAGTTCCAAGAGACACTGAATCCTCTCTCACCTGATCACCTTTTCTACTTCTCCAGTGGGCCCTTTACGGGTTTTCCAAGTTTCAGTGCTAATGCTGACTGCAGCATTAACACAGCAGGATAAAGACATGACAACCAAAGGGCATTAAATATAAAATACTTAACCATTTTATTCTTCCCTTTTTTTCAACTTTAATTTTGCCTTGTTTTCCTGTGAGGAAGCTTTGGCTGTTTCAGCATTCTTTGCAGTTTCAGCAGTTTTGGTTTTTGGCTTTTGCTTTCTGGAACGTATCAGGTCTTCACGTCCGAGTTCAACCATTTTTGCTTCCCACGACTTCATTTCATTCTCATACCGAACCTTATCATCTTCAGCGAGCTGCAGGTATGGCTGGAAGAAAATCAGGTATCAACAGTTACGGAAGGGGCTTTGTCAGGGTAACTGCCATGTCCTGCCATCCTCCCCTTTGATACAAACGTGACTTACTACGGGACCTGTGCAGTGCGCATCTCAGGCGTTCACTTTTGCCTCCGGAAAATTCAAAACACATCAATCTTGCACAAAAATACAAAACCTTAGCATTGAATTATGGTTATGTCAACAGATGGCCATTCCTGAAGAGGAAGTTTATTCAGTATTACTACTAACAGCTAAGGCTTTTTTTGAGTACTAGTTTGACAGAGCTGGCTTATGCAAGGAACAGGAGTAGATATTTCTGCACAACTATTTCAAATTCTGTTTCTACAGAAAAAAACATGAACCTAGTGCATGTTCTAAGCACACATTCAAAACAATCTGGAAGAAGGACATTCAGGAGGAAGGACAGTAAGGTACAGAATACCTGAAAATCTGGAGGTTTAGATTAGGTTTCAGTATGGCACCACTCCGATTTTCATATACCCATCTGCAGGTTTGTATTTCAATACACTGAGAAAGCTGGCGGAAAACTACCCCCAAGACAACCAAAATTAATAAATTACTATGTGCACATCACTTGTAGATTTCTGTTGCTTTTACCTGTCAAAAGTCTTTCCACTTTTGCAGCAGCAAATTACTCTGCTGGCATTTAAAAATATTATAGATTATTAGAAAAAAAAAAAAATCAAATTGTTGCAAATTATTCCACCTTCCTCCCTAGATGCCACTCAACGTCCATTTCCAGGCATACAGAACTTCCACCCTATCCCACTCACTCACATTTCATCAACACTGTGAAAGAAATGGTCACTACTGGAATAAAAGTAACGACAATCTTTTTCAAGATGCATAAATACGATCTCACAGTATTTTCCTCAGTATTATATTTTGAGCAACTGAGTTCAAGATTTTGTATGAATTCATTAATTTTGACTCAAGTTTGTCATTTTCCAATTAGACCAGAGCCTCATCAAAATCCACTCACCTACCTGCTTTTGAGAACTGGACAGTTTTTGCCATGCATCAAATAATTGCTTCAGCTTTGCCTACAGGATATAGAATATGCAATACATAAGGATTATTTTAACAATAGACTGACCACAGAGGGTTATAGATGAACGCCACGCTAGTGAAAGCCAAGTATAAACCAATGTAAAAAACACAAAGTCACACGGGCTTAATACCCAACTTCTTAACGTAGGTAAATAATAAACGATACAGTTCCACAAGTTGCTGGACACCATCTGAGCCACATTTACAGACAATATAAGCACGAAGCAGTTTAAGTTGCTTAGCCTGCCGCCAAAGCAGGCAGACAGAACAGCTGAGCTGATTTATAGCAACATGATTACATCTCACCCCGCATACTGGCTTCATTTAAACCGAGCCCTAACTGAAGCCAAGCCCACACAAGTATTAACCACCTTCACAGGAAACTTTGTACCACTTCAGGAGTATTTTGCCACATGTGTGTCAAACGGGGCCTCAGCTGACTGGAGATGCCTGCCTTGCACACAGAAAACCGAGGAACAAACTATTTCCACCATCCTGATTTACTGACTAAATGCATAGGGTAAGGAACGTATTAGGCATACAGGGGAGGTCTCCAGCGCTTCAAGTGCTGTAATCCACTTGTAACTGAAATCACACCAAAGTGCAGTTTGGTGCAGAACTTGTGACTTTGCTGAGGAACTCTTGCATGTTCCGTAACATCGACTGTGCTACAAGGAGGTACAATAACCACTATTACAGAAATGGTAGCAGACCACCACAACCATTTTAAAAAATAATGTATTTCTACACCAAGACAAAGAAAAATAGAATTCTCTCCCTACAGAAGGAACAGATGGAGTCTGTAACACTGAAGTGCAAAAAATAGTGCAAATATTTTAAGTCTATATACCCACACAGCAGTTTATATAGGACATGCCACCAGCAGTATAGCCAGATCACCGTAGCCTAAAAAAAAATAACCTAAGCAAAGCAAAATCCAGATACTGAACTATTGAACAGTTTATTTGAAAATGACAGAATCTAGAACAGATTTTCTGAATACAATAGATTTATTTTAAAGAACAATTTTTCCTGGCTTACCACAGGTGAAATTCCCTCACTTTCTTGAAAGTTTTCCGACACAAAGATGTTAAAGCCGCTACGAGATCTTTTAGGTTTTCCAAGCACAGTCAATTCCTTTAAAAACAACATGAAAAGTTACTCAATCTCCCAAGCGTGCATTTTTCCAAAACTAAACTTACCACTTGTCTTTCTATTTTATACAAAAGTCAGACTCAAATGCATTTTTTGGTGTTTTATTCTGTAAACTGGACTGTATGTCAAGATGCTCTCACCACTTGTCAAGACTAATGCTAAACTAAATTAAGAAAAGCTAACAACTTGAATTTTCACAGACATAAAAAAAAAGTATTTTAAACTGATTCTTACTTCAGCTAAGTCTTCCAGAAACCAAAGACTGTTACTAAATTCCACTCAGTAAGAAAGTCATGACGACAGGTTTTCCATTATCTTCATAAGGCTTCGGTTTCTGGTGTGAAATACTGTATGCTTGCAGAGAGGAGGGCAGATACCTAACTGTGGGAGGTGAGAAGGTGGAACAGAACCAGCATATTCCCAGGGAAACAGAGCTAGGTTTCTGCTCTCAGAACACTTTGCCTACAGGGATGATGGTGAGAGAGGGAAAGTACAGCAAGTTATGGATGCAATTGCACTTGTTGTTTTCTCCAGCCCTAAGACATTCCCACTGCAGCCTGGGTGCTGCAAATTAACATCTGCTTAGCTATTAGGTATGCCAGCTAAATTCCTTGTGGTGCCATACTCTAAAAAGGATCAGCAGAATCATTTGGATTAAAAACTTCCTCTAAGCAGGGGTCTTTCAAACCAAATTAATTTCACTTTTGCCAACTAGGGCAATGTCACACCAGCAGTTTAATTCACAGACATGAACAAGCAATAAGTAACCCCTTCAACTTATTTTGCCACTGGACAAACCACAATATTGTACCTTTACAGATGGTTCTGTCTCTAAGGACTTATATATAAACAAGCTAAAAGGGAACAGGGAAGATAATCTGTATGAATAAGTCAATAAAGGACACTAACTGATGCACCTCTATGCAGCCCAAATTCAACACGTCAGCAGCTACACAGATAGCAAAGGGGCAGAATCCAGAGAAAGGAAGGAAAAAAGGCTACTTCAAACAGCCACGACCTTGTAGGGGCCACTGAAGTAACAGATACAAGGCCTTTGTGAAAAGCTGTTTCTGGATGTCTTCCCAACAAAAGAAAGTGTTGCTGGTTCAAATGTCTTTTATTACCTATCATTTCTCAGGCAGCTTTAGGAATAGGAAGAAAAAAGCATAGAGAAGCTACCTCTAAGCACAAAGACATGTGCTAGTTCTGGTCTTCAAGCACAGGAAAGCCACTAAAATAGCTGCTAACACCAGCAATTATTTTAGTCCATGGGGTTTTTGGCGTTTTGTTTTGGGTTTATGGTGTGTTTGTTTTTTTTTTTATTCTGAGCGTCGCTTTTGTATCTCTAAACATGCTTCAACTCTGCTCTGTATACTAGACAAATAGACTTCAGGTTCCTTGAGAGAAAAGAAACTTGAACTTCAGAATACTTACTCTTTTTGCCCTAAACGATCTTCTTTTTGCCAGTCGTTTGCTCCTTTCTTCTTTCAAAGCCGCAGCCTGGGCTGGAGTTAGCTGTGCTTTATATGCGGCCAACCGCTCTTTGTATCTTTGCCAGTCTGTCTTTCTAGCTTCCTCATAAACCTACAACACAAACAATCACCACCCTTAAACAGATGCTTTCAGTCAGAAGCACTTGACCGTTAAACAAGCTAACACTTCTAACCTACTAACAAAAAAAATTAGACTAACCTGGAACATAAGGTTTTTAAAGTAAAGTAACAATTTCAGATCTGTCTGATTAGCAGAATGGATTCAGAAGAACTCAGATTCAAAACCTGGGCTCTTCCCATGAATTATCTTAGTTAATCTGATAACATTGGATGAATCTTCAGATGCAGCTCAAAGCAGTAACAATCTTCCATACAAGGAGGAAAAGCTGAAGCTTGGTTGAAATGATTACTCTTAAAGTGCGTATACCCACTGCAGCACACAAGTGCTCCAGTCGCCAAACACGTTCCCCCACTGGCCGATACCAGCTACAGAAGCTTCATAAAATCATGGCCTTGGTACCAGGGGCACCAAGAAGAGCTGAGCCAGGCTACCGAGCATCCAGGTAGACCTGAAAAATCACCATCCCGTTCTCCATTTCAGACATACAAACAGAAAGGCATACTTTATACTAAGGCACACAGAGCGAGAAGTCCAGAAGGGATATAAGAGCACTTCAATTCTATTGAACAAAGATATTACTTTAGCTAGAAAACTGCAATTAGTTCCTAACTGGATCTAATTGCTAACTGCAATCAAGGAAGGACAATCATTACTTTGCTATAAATGGCACTTACATTCAGCAATGATTAGCAATTCATAGAGTTGTTTTACATTACCCCTGGAAACTGCCACTCTTAAAGAAACTTTGCTACCTATGACAAAAGGTAAGTTAACTAGATGAAACTTAAAGAAAGTTACCTGTAAGTTAGGTCTCTGGTTACTATCTAATCAGCAGAAAAAAAAAGTTGGTCCTTTCATCAAAATTAACTGAGGTTTCACCTAACTTATGCATATGAAAGCGGAACAACTTTACAATACTTATGTTATTATACAGGTAATGCATGCACATACACAATTACCATTCAAAAAGAAATGAGATATTGGCTCCCAGCCCTACGGCCACATAGAGTGAGAGCTAGTCATTTCTCTGGCAACAGACTAAAAATACTAAAACCAAGGTCACGAGTGGAAGTATCAAAGTATCTTCCCCTGAGTACTTCAAAGCTCTCAGTTCTCTTCAGAATTGTTTTTATGTCTGAACCTTTGTACGCAAGTGCTTTTTTATTGTTGTTTAAAAATAAACCAAAAAAACCCCACCCCACCACACAAAACAAAAAAATCCACGGAGGACACCAAACCAAGTAAAACAACCATGAAGGCTCTTATTATAGAGTTCAAAGTACACAGGGCAAAGATACAAACTTACCTGCTTCTGTGATGCTGGTAACTCCTTCCAAGTATCTGCTATTTTTTTAACCAGCTCCATGTTGTTCATTTCTGTACATTAAAATTAGAAAGCAAGAAAATAAAGACGAATATTATATCTTTAGTAAGCTGCTTCGTTTTTTCCCAAGGAAAGCTGTCACTAGTATCTTTTTCCTGTACAAATATATTTTCCTCCTTTCATAAAGGAGGAAACTAACCAACTTACTGGGGCAGTTAAAGGGAACTGTAATATTTTGGGCGGAAGAGCTCCCACTCCTGGTTCAAACTCGAATGAAACATGCAGTTATAAACTGAAGCACCATTTCAAGACAGACGGCTATTACCACTCCACAACAGTTTCTTTTTTTTTCTTTTTTCTTCTTTTGAGCCGGATCCTTTTCTGTACAATGCAAGATGGTCTGAACTTGGGAGGGGGGCCAGGGAAGAAACCAAAAGTAAACTTTCCAGTTCTCAGTTTTTGGCAAAAAGAGTCTGCTGGATTCTTCAAAGCAAGTATAATGTGACCTTATCCACCTGATATAGCAGACATGTTTGATCTTTATTTTAATAAAGTCCTTTATTTACACTATTATTCAACAGAAGTAAGGTTAAAGAAAAAGTAATTTCCTTCTCCCACAAACAAAATTACAGACAGCAGCTTGAATTTGCTTTGGTTTTTGGCTGACTGCCTTTGGCTCTGGCCCTTGCACTATGGTCATTTGATGAGGTATCCAGCCAGACCTGAATTTGTGAAGAGGAAAAGAAAACCCCAAATAAAAATACCAAGGGTGTTGGAAAGAGGATGTAACTTTTCTTTTGTTGAAAAACCCTTTCCAGGCTTTCCCTCTGTTTCACACTAAAAGGAAAAACAGATCTTCCTCTCTCCCACCTCAAATGTAAAGTTCAGCCATCTCAACAGCAGAAAAGCAGAACTAAGCTCTTATCAGTAACCTGACTTCCAGAATTCTGGAAAAACAAGACAGATGGAGAGTTTTTAGTCCAAGTATACCAAGCTTAAAACCTTTGAAAATACGATGCTTTGCCAGTGATTCTTTTATCAGAATTAATTAATAAAAAAAATTATCAGGTTATTTTTGAATATTACCTCTATTGGAACAAGAAAGCCCAAAATTCTCAATTTGCATATGAGATACAGTACATTTATTTGCAGATTATTTGAATTTTGGAAACACGTGGAAAACACTGGTGTGGCACATAACTACAATAAGCTCTGCAAGTTCAGTGTCTCAACCTTTCAGACTGTTGAACTCTTGAACTACCAAGCAAAACAGGGTATCAAATTGTTTTCCCTGCTTAAATTTACCTCATGACTTGCCCAATATGACCACAGCTCTTTAAACATTTTAACATTCATTTCAACAGTATCTTCAAAATCAGCGCAGCTTTCCATTTTGCTGCTCTCTGACAAGAATAGTGACTGCATTGCCTATAAATGAAGATTTTGATAATAAATTAAACATACTCACAGAAAACCATTTTCCTCTAAATACGTTTACTTTTTCTCCCATATACATTGAGGCAATCTACTAAGCATCAAAATAAAATCATATACAGCTCATTGTATCAGCAATAGTGTACTTCAAATACATAGATTCAAAAATAACTGAAAAACACAAATCACTGTTAACACGTACTGCCCAAGTGAGCTCCTTCTTCAAACATTTTTAAAGTTACACACAAACGTTTGCTTTTTTGAGTTAAGTATAGAAGAATAAACTAATACATGCACAGGCAGTAAGTATGGCAATACTGAATTTACTTGTGGTATGCTACAGATAAAGAGAGGGTTCTGGTCCCCTGACATCAAGGTAATGTACTTCAGTTACTTCATGACGTTTAGTTTTGCAAAGCAATACTTTGCTCCAGTTTTCTTTTTGAATCACACGTTCTGGAGGGAAACGGCAGCTTTACAACAAAACCTCTGGCACACTTGACGCGTTAAGACCTTGGATCTCTAAAAGCAAAACAAAGCCAATCGTGAGTCCCCTCGCACCTAATTCCCTCCAGACCTCATACCTGGATTGTTTTGCCTAAAAGCAGAGCGATTTTCTTTCAGGAAACGGAAATAGGCCGTCAGAGGCCGCTTCGGGCGCTCATCCGAGCTGATCCCCC